CCTGCCATGCCTCTCCGCCAGCCGCCCTGCTGGCCACCTGCCACGCCTCTCCGTGAGCCGCCCTGCTGGCCACCTGCCACGCCTCTCCGTAAGCCGCCCACTTGCCAAAATGTCTTCAGGCTCCCCCCCCCCCGCCACCCCACACTTAACCCAGCTCTCAGTGATTTCAGTTGTTAGTGGGGGGAGCCTCATTGCTGGTGCACACTGGGCAGTCTCTTGCAATAGAGACACTCTCCCAAAGTAGGTCTAATACTTAGACCTAGGTACCAGTGATTTCAGCTCTGCAGCGTGTAACAAGACTCTCCCTTGAATCTAAATTAGCTCTTTTATTATACCATGGAGCGAGGAAGGGTCAAATGGTGTCTAGGACCCTTAAACAGGGTCCACCCCACCAGGTGCAAGTACCTGTCCCCACCGTCTCTCCATGGTATAATAAAAGAGCTAATTTAGACTCAAGGGAGAGTCTTGTTACACGCTGCAGAGCTGAAATCACTGGTACCTAGGCCTTTCTGCCATTGGAAAGAGGAAGGAGGAGCCTGCTGCTTCTTCCTCTAGCCTTTCTTTGGCAATGTATGGGGGTGGAATGACAAGGCCATGGCAGTGCCTGGGCAGGTTTGAGTCCTGCTGACTTCGAAGTGATAAACACTCCCCGCCCCCCACCCCTCCGTTTTCTCTTCTCCTGGGTAGAGTCTTTGCAACACTGAAGCAATTAGCAGCTCCAGCTACAAAGCCCTGACAGGCGGCGGAGCTGTGATCTTGCAGGTCACCTTTGCAGAGGCGTAAAGGTGCTGTGAAAATGGCGCAGGTGAGGGTGAAGGGGTGGGGGGGGGTCTATGTATGAATTTGCCAGGGTTCCATTTATTTTTTATGGCTGAAATCTAACCAACTGTAGTTGCTGATGTCAGCAGGGTCTGAATTGGCTCTCCCCTGACATCGAATGATAAGCTGGGGGAAAAGACTTCAGGAACCAACCGTGTTTGAAGAGACATGTCTACTCTGCCTTTCTGCGCAGCACGATGGAGCTGTTTTGCCCAAATGATTGATTTGGGCTGGTGTTGGATTGCCAGTCGCTCTGGTGTTGGCAGCAGGGGTGAAGGAAGGTGGTGGTGCGAGTGGTGACAGCAGAACCGTGCTTGGCGTGCCCTGCCTGAGGGCTGCCAGTTTCCCAGGCATGATCCTAACCCCGTCCTTGAGTTCTGTCCGTTGGCCTCTTTGTTTGGACTAATTCAGTCTCCGTCCCCCTTTTCCCATCAACATATTCCGCTGTTGGTTATTGTGACACGTTTTGAATTTTCGCTGTTTACAGTTGAGCTCACGGGGAAGGTTAGTTTGAAGGCTCGGTTCTTGCAACAAAGGAAAGTGACTTGGGCAGTGTGACCCTCGGAGGCCAGCGGCTGAGCCAGGAGGAGAACCTGGGTCTCCTGAGTCAAACACCTCTGTGGTTAAGGATAATGCTCTCAATCTCTCTCCGTATTTTTACCAGGCCCATCACCGTGACATCTGAGTGTCTAAGCCAAGCATTAACAGCCTGGGGTTAGGAAGAAATGTTCCCCATGGGAGTTATTGCACGATTGTCCATTCCGGGGGGTTACACTTTCTTCTGAACAGCTGGTTCTGGCCATGGATAGAGAGAGGGTACTGGACTGAAGGCCACTGGCCTCATCCAGGATTACATTTCCTATGTTCCTGTAGCAAACTCCAGAGAGGGAGTTACACTGTTAACATCCATTTTTAAATCTCACCACACCGCCCCCCCTTTAGCCCCCCAGTCACATCTCTGACCCACTGAGTCAGCAGCCTCCCGGGATCACTGCAACGATGCCAAAGAATGGGCTGCAGCGCCAGGCTGTTGTCCCACTCTAGAGGCATCCCTGGCATGAACACCGAGGTTTCTCAGCACATGGAGTCTCAGCACTTCACCCATGAAGAGCGTGGCCAGGTCAGGTGGAGGTTAGCAGCACACTCCGCATGCTGCCATGTCTCTTCCCCCAGGAGTCTCGTGCCCCCAAAGCCCATGAGGTTCACGTATCAGCTCTGCCTGCAGGGACACGGAAGAATCCCAGGCACCGCTACAGGCTGGGGACCGACTGGCTAAGCGGCAGTTCTGCGGAAAAGGACCTAGGGGTTACAGTGGACAGGAAGCTGGATATGGGTCAACAGTGTGCCCTTGTTGCCAAGAAGGCCAATGGCATATTGGGCTGTATTAGTAAGACCATTGCCAGCAGATCGAGGGACATGATTATTCCCCTCTATTTGGCACCGGTGAGGCCACACCTGGAGTACTGCGTCCAATTTTGGGCCCCCCACTACAGAACGGATGTGGACAAATTGGTGAGAGTCCATCAGAGGGCAACGAAAATGATCAGGGGGCTGGGCCACATGGCTTACGAGGAGAGGCTGAGGGAACTGGGCTTGTTTAGTCTGCAGAAGAGAAGAGTGAGGGGGGATTTGATAGCAGCCTTCAACTACCTGAAGGGGGGGTCCCGAAGGGGATGGAGCTCGGCTGTTCTCAGTGGTGGCAGATGGCAGAACAAGGAGCAATGGTCTCAAGTTGCAGTGAGGGAGGTCTAAATTGGATATTAGGAAACACTTTTTCACTAGGAGGGTGGTGAAGCACTGGAATGAGTTACCTAGGGAGGTGGTGGAATCTCCTTCCTTAGAGGTTTTTAAGGCCCGGCTTGACAAAGCCCTGGCTGGGATGATTTAGTTGGGGTTGGTCCTGCTTTGAGCAGGGGGTGGGACTAGATGACCTCCTGAGGTCCCTTCCAACCCTGATCTTCTATGATTCTATGACACTGGAAGGAGTAGGAGAGCAGGAGGGTACCACGTTAGCTGCTGGGCAGGTCACAGCTCAGTGTTCTGGTTCATGGGGAGGCAGGCTGGCTCCGGAAGCTCTGGGCTGGCTCGAACCCAAAATAAAGCCATTGTTCCCCTTTGGCTCATGGGGGCGCTCTGTCGAATCCTGGCACTGTCATGGCTGGAGGGGACGCAAATCCAGCCAGAAGCACCAAGAGCCAGGAGGATGGGAGGGAGTTTTATCACCTAACATGACCTGCCCTGCTGGCAGAACCAGCCCAGCAGCCAAGGGCTGAATGGGCCCAAAGGTGCTCTCCTTTCACCCCACGCGTGGGGCCCTCCAGCACAAGGGCTGTGGCACATTGGGGAGTTTGCACTGCCTCTGCCCATGCAGAGAGGATGCCGCACTGCCGGGCTGGCACCTTTCCCCCTCCCTGACTTTCTCCAGGCTGCTCCATCACTCTGCTGCAGGTTGTAAAGGGCAGCCTGGCATGCAGTAGGCAGCAGACCGGGCTCACCTCATGCCATGGGTGCCGCCCACCCCAACCTCACGCACTGAGCGAGGGCCTGAGAGAACAAGTGCTTGTTGTTCTTGCAGATCTTGGCTTTGTAGCCTTGGAGCTGCTTTGCCTCCCTCCCCTGACCTCATCTCCCAGGCTCCTCACCTGGCTCCAAGCAGACGCTGGCCTTGAATGGTGCCTGAAGGGCTTGAATTCGCTCTGATGAAAATAAAGCCTTGCGAATAAAGCATCAGTCATGCAAAGGTCTTCTTGGTGTGGAGAGCACAGCTAGAATGAGCGATGGGGCTGGGTGGGTTCACAAGCCCACTCCTGGAGGAAGGGGCAGGCTCCCGGGCCTGGTCTCTTCACTCTCTCTGGGGCACCTGGCATTGGCCACTGTTGGAAGACAGGACACGGGGCTAGATGGGCCATTGGGCTGACCCAGTGTGGCCGTTCTTATGATTTGTACCTGCACCAATCCAGACACACCCGCACTTGGGCAGATTGCTGAACTGGGGCCTCTGTAACAACTCTGAGGCCTGAGTGAAACCTACAGCGCTGTCTTGAGAACAGGCGCCTGCCTTCCTGGAGCTCCAAAGCACCCAAATTCCACCCTGAAAACTTCTCACAGTTACCCTTGCTATTGAATATCCTTACAACTAGGAGGCAGCACACCCATTTCTACTAGGGAGAAGAAGCATTGGCCACCCTGGATACAGCTGTCCTACTACCAGCCTCCCAGGGAAGGACCCTGCAGCCCCAGCTCTTCCTTCTGTGCTACCGTCACACTTGGCTTCAGAGGGGTAGCCATGTTAGTCTGTCTCAGCAAAAACAACGAGGAGTCCTTGTGGCACCTTAGAGACTAACACATTTATTTGAGCATAAGCTTCCGTGGGCTAAAACCCACTTCATCAGATGCATGGAGTGAAAAATACAGTAGGCAGAATATATAATACAGCACATGAAAAGATGGGAGTTCATAGAATCATAGAATCTCAGGGTTGGAAGGGACCTCAGGAGGTCATCTAGTCCAACCCCCTGCTCAAAGCAGGACCAATCCCCAACTAAATCATCCCAGCCAGGGTTTTGTCAAGCCTGACCTTAAAAACCTCTAAGGAAGGAGATTCCACCACCTCCCTAGGTAACGCATTCCAGTGTTTCACCACCCTCTTAGTGAAAAAGTTTTTCCTAATATCCAACCTAAATCTCCCCCACTGCAACTTGAGACCATTACGCCTTGTTCTGTCATCTGCTATCACTGAGAACAGTCTAGAGCCATCCTCTTTGGAACCCCCTTTTCAGGTAGTTGAAAGAAGCTATCAAATCCCGCCTCATTCTTCTCTTCCGCAGACTAAACAATCCCAGTTCCCTCAGCCTCTCCTCATAACTCATGTGTTCCAGTCCCCTAATCATTTTTGTTGCCTTCCGCTGGACTCTTTCCAATTTTTCCACATCCTTCTTGTAGTGTGGGGCCCAAAACTGGACACAGTACTCCAGATGAGGCCTCACCAATGTCAACTAGAGGGGAACAATCACGTCCCCCGATCTGCTTGCAATGCCCCTACTTATACATCCCAAAATGCCATTGGCCTTCTTGGCAACAAGGGCACACTGTTGACTCAGATCCAGCTTCTCATCCACTGTAACCCCTAGGTCCTTTTCTGCCGAACTGCTGCCTAGCCATTAGGTCCCTAGTCTGTAGCGGTGCATGGGATTCTTCCGTCCTAAGTGCAGGACTCTGCACGTGTCCTTGTTGAACCTCATCAGATTTCTTTTGGCCCAATTCTCTAATTTGTCTAGGGCCCTCTGTATCCTATCCCTACCCTCCAGGGTATCTACCTCTCCTCCCAGTTTAGTATCATCTGCAAACCTCCTGAGGGTGCAGTCCACGCCATCCTCCAGATCATTAATGAAGATATTGAGTTGCCTTACAAAGGAGATCAGTGCCAAAGAGGCCAATTCAATTAAAATGTAAGTGGCCTATTTTCAACAGTTGACAAGAAGGGGTGAATATCAAGGGAGGGAAAATTACTTTTGTAGTGCTAACGAGGCCAACGCAATCAAGGTGGACATCCGCCCATTTCCAATAGTTGACAAGAAGGTGTGAGTTTCAGCAGAAAGAAAATTACTTTTTGTAGTGACCCAGCTACTCCCAGTCAAGGGAAGAAATGCAGAGAGGCAGCCATGTGATTTGGGGCTGGCAGGGGTGGGGATACGTGTGGAAAGTTCTTAGTTGCCGTGCGCTGTACCTTATCGACAGGACCTTGGGGGGCCTGAGAGACACCTCCCTATATCTGTAGCGAGTGGACCGCCAGGCGGGGCAGGGTAACGCAAGGAACTTAGCACCAGAATGATAAGCTGAACAAAGCAAAGGCAGAAGCTGGGTCTCAAGAAGCGTTTCCTGACATTGAGAACTTGCAGGAGTGAAATAATCTCCCCAGGGATAGAGGCCGCTTCTTGGTTTATTTAAGAATGGGCTGGCCTAAGAACTTAAAAACACACCATTATGTTGAGGACAGTCCTGCTTGGGCCAGGAGACTGGGCTAGGTGTGACTGAAGAGGCCTCTGCCCTCTAATGTACTGTGAATGTCCGCATTCCTGCCCAGCGGCGTCTGGCTGGCAGGGCTCCTGCGCACATGGGACAGGGCTCCGGTGGCTGTTTGCACTTTTGCAAATGTTGGCCATGCTGGGCAGCCACCTCCCAGAGTCGTGGGTCCAACAGGAGAAATGGGTCATGGATTAAAGGAATCTGGTGAGCACCACCTAGTCCCTCCCTTGAAGTCAGTTGTCCATCACGCAGCCAGTACCCAATTGGCGCAACTAACAGCCTTTGCTCAAAGGAGGCCAAGGACTAGACAGCAGGTGTGGCCATTGCTCAAAACTAGGGGCACTGGCAAAGCTCTGGTTCAGGGGAGCCCAGGACTGCGTAACGAATCTACTGGTCATTCCCATTGACAGTGGCCAGCACCAGATACTTAGAGGAAGATACAAGAATAGTGATGATTGTCATTTGTGGGATAAGCTGCCCATAGAGGAAGTTTCTTCTTTAGCCACTCTGTTAGTGGTTGGTTCATGCCCCAGAGCACCAGGGTTTATACCCCCTAAAATGTTTCTTTGCTAATCTAGCTCTGGATGTTCTCATCATCCGTCAAAATGTCTAATTTGCTTCAATCATCTGAAGCTTTTGGCCTCAGTATTATCTTGTGGCAATGGGTTCCACATGCTTTTTGTGAGTTGTGTAAAAAAGTATTTTTGTTTCTCAGCTGTAATTTTACCACCTTCATTTTCATGGACTGCCCCCTTGATCTTGTATTACAAGGAATGGGAAGCAGGAGGACCTAATTTACCACCTCTTTACCTTCATCTTTTTAGTTCTATCATGTGGCTTCTTTTTTATCTCCTCCCCAACTAAACAGCCTGAATGGTTGTTGTCTCTCTTCTTTCTAGGCCTTGCAGTCTTTACATCCCTGTTCGGATGGGGTGCAGAAGTGAACGCAGTACTCCAGGTAAGGGCACGCAGTTGCTTTCTGCTACAGAATTTGCGAAGCTATTTTATGGATTCATAGATTCCTAGGCCAGAAGGAACCATCATGATAATCCAGGCTGACCTCCATATCACAGGCCAAAGAACCCATCCCGTGACTCCTCCATCCAACCAATATCTTCTGGATGAGCTTGAGTAGATCTTTTAGAAAGAAACCTCCAATTCTGATTTAAAGACTCCTAGGTGATGGAGAATCCACCACATCTGTTGGTAATTTGCTCCAATGGTTAGTTCATAGATCATAGAAGGTTAGGGTTGGAAGGGACCTCAGGAGGTCATCTAGTCCAACCCCCTAGAATCATAGAATCATAGAATATCAGGGTTGGAAGGGACCCCAGAAGGTCATCTAGTCCAACCCCCTGCTCAAAGCAGGACCAATTCCCAGTTAAATCATCCCAGCCAGGGCTTTGTCAAGCCTGACCTTAAAAACCTCTAAGGAAGGAGATTCTACCACCTCCCTAGGTAACGCATTCCAGTGTTTCACCACCCTCTTAGTGAAAAAGTTTTTCCTAATATCCAATCTAAACCTCCCCCACTGCAACTTGAGACCATTACTCCTCGTTCTGTCATCTGCTACCATTGAGAACAGTCTAGAGCCATCCTCTTTGGCACCCCCTTTCAGGTAGTTGAAAGCAGCTATCAAATCCCCCCTCATTCTTCTCTTCTGCAGGCTAAACAATCCCAGCTCCCTCAGCCTCTCCTCATAACTCATGTGTTCCAGTCCCCTAATCATTTTTGTTGCCCTTCGCTGGACTCTCTCCAATTTATCCACATCCTTCTTGAAGTGTGGGGCCCAAAACTGGACACAGTACTCCAGATGAGGCTTGAAGCAGGACCAATCCCCAATTTTTGCCCCAGACTCCTAAATGTCCCCCTCAAGGATTGAACTCACAAACCTGGGTTTAGCAGGCCAATGCGCTCAAACCACTGAGCTATCCCTCCCCCCGTTACCTCACTGTAAACATTTGTGCCTTAGTTCCAGTCTAAATTTAACTTCATATTCCAGCCATTGGCTCTAATTCTGCGATTGCTAAATTAAAGAGCCCTCTTCTGTCACAAATCTTCTCCCGTGTAGCTGCTGATAGACTATAATCAAGTCTCTTCCTAACCTTCTCTTCGCTTTAATGCAGTGGTGTTGTAGCCGAGTTGGTCCCAGGATATTAGCGAGACAAGGTGGGGGAGGTAATAGCTTTTATTGGCCCAGCTTCTGCTGGTGAGAGAACAAGCTTTGGAGCTTACCCAGAGCTCTTCTTCAGGTCTGGGAAATGTATCAGTGTCACAGCTAAATACAAGTGGGAGGGGAACAGAGAGCTTAGCGTCAGTAGTTAACATATTTTAGGGGCCCATTCAAGGGGAAGCAGCCTGGTAACACCGCTCCCATCACGGGATGGAGGAACTGGGGAGTTGGGCAGGCGATCAAGGGCCATGCAGGCGGGGAGAGGCATCTTTCCCCCGGGCTGCTGCGGCGAGAGAGGGCTGGGGGGAGTTCTCTCTCCCCACCACAGCCCCGGGGCAACCTGCACCCCAAACCCCTCATCTCTGGCCCCACCCCAGCCCCACCCAAGAGCTCTCATCCCTAGCTGGAGCCCTCACCCCCCAGAGTCCCAAACCTCTGCCCCAGCCGTGAGCCCCCTCCCACACCCCAAACCCCTCATCCCCAGCTCCACCCCAGAGCCTGCACCCCCCAGCCAGAACCCTCACCCCCAGAGCCCCAAACTTCTGCCCCAGCCGTGAGCCCCCTCCCACACCCCAAACCCCTCATCCCTGGCTCCACCCCAGAGCCTGCACCCCCCAGCCAGAGCCCTCACCCCCTCCCCCGCACCCCAGCCCTGAGCCCCCTACCACACTCCAAACCCCTCGGCCTCACCCCCGCCACACATCACCTCCATATTGGTGCACAAAACAAAATTCATTCCGCACATGGATGTAAAAAATTAGAGGGAACATTGGAGTTGGGGGTTTAGTGGGTTACAGATTGTTGTAATGAGCCATAAATCCAGTGTCTCTGTTCAGTCCATGATTGTTAGTGTTGAGCAGAGTTATGAATTTAAGCTCCTAGGCTCCTCATTTGAAAGTGATTTGCAGGTTTCCTTTGAGGATGAGTACTCATAGCTCAGACACAGACTGATGAAAGGTGATCACCCATAGGTGACAGGGTGTTTTGTCTTTTATCATTTCCCTGTGTGAGTTCATGGAGAGCATAGTGAGTGTCTGGTTTCACACACACACTTGTTTGTGGGGCATTGAGTGCACTGGATGAGGTACCCCACATGTTGTGATAGGCATGTGCAGGGCCCACGGATCTTGAAAGGTGTGGGGTGAGGCTGTTGATCATTGTAGCAGTGGAGATATGTCTGCAGGTTTTGCAGCTGTTGTTCTGGGAGGGTCTGGTGCAGCTTTGAGTTGGTGTGTTCTGGTCTGTGGGGAGCTTGCTTCTGATGATGCCCTTGGAGAGGTTGGAGGTTTGTTTGAAGGCCAGAAGTGGGGGTTCAGGAAAGATTTCTTTCAAGGTATGGTCCCCATCGAGTATGGACAGGTTCCAGTGTGGGGTGGTAGGTGACAACTAGAGGCGTGCAGTCAGAGAGGGTTTTATTTCTGCATTGAAACAGGTTCTCTCGGGGTATTTGGGTGGCCCATTCTATCATGTGATCTGCTTCTCTGATGGTTAACCACCTTCACTGATTTTAAAAACAGTGACTTATTGCTAATTGAACTGGTCTGGCTTTAATTCTAGCCGCTGGTTCTTGTTCCACCTTTTTCTGACAGATTCCAGATCCTGTTAGTATCATAAAAACAACAAGAAGTCCGGTGGCACCTTAAAGACTAACAGATTTATTGGAGCATAAGCTTTCATGGGTAAAAACCTCACTTCTTCAGATGCATGGAGTGAAAGTTACAGATGCAGACATAAATATACTGACACATGAAAAGAAGGGAGTTACCTCACAAGTGGAGAACCAGTGTTGACAGGGCCAATTCGATCAGGGTGGATGTAGTCCACTCCCAACAGTAGATGGGAAGGTGTCAATTCCAGGAGAAGCAAAGCTGCTTCTGTAATGAGCCAGCCACTCCCAGTTCCTATTCAAGCCCAGATTAATGGTGTTAAATTTGCAAATTAATTTTAGTTCTGCTGTTTCTCTTTGAAGTCTGTTTCTGAAGGTTTTTTTGTTCAAATATAGCTACTTTCAAATCTGCCTGCATGCCTTGTTCCTGCATAGGGGGCCTTCCACCGGTCTGGGTTTAAATGCATTTTGTTTGAATAGGCCCAGCTCCGCAAGTGATCCAAACGTCTCTGTATGGCTGCCCTGTCTTCATCATTACTTACTCTCCGCCAGTCTTTGGGTCATCTGCAAATCTTATCAGCAGTAATTTTATATTTACTTCCAGGTCACCGATAAAAATATTGAATCGCATCAGGCCTAGTACCGATCCCTGGGCATCCCCACTAGAAATCTCTGATGCTGATGCTCCACTGACTTCAGAGATCTTTCGGGTAGCCAGTGCTTAACCCGTTTAACGTGTGCTTTCCTGGGATTGCACAGTGCTAGTTTTTTAATCTGCATCTCAGGTGGTACTGCGTTAACCGCCTTACCAAAGTCCAAATCTACGACACCTGTGCAGTTATCTTTACCAACCAAACTGGAGAGCTCATAAAAAAAAAATAGACTCGGGTTTGTTTGACGTGACCTATTTTCCATAAGCCCATGTTGACTGGCATACAATATATTCCTCTCCTTTAATTCTGTATTGATTGAATCTCCCATCGGCTTTTCCATTATCTTCCCCAGGCTAAGCAGAGCAGAGTGCTGCATGTTGCTTCTAGTCAGCGGCAGAAAGGAAATAAATCCTTGGAAGGAGGGGGCTAGGAGCCCTGCCAGCACCAATTGTTCTAAGCTCTCCTGTGGGCGTACAGGATGTACGGTTCTGCCGAGACGTGACATAACCCCCAGACCTGTTTCTGGGCTGGAGATGTCAAAGCCCTACCTGCAAGAGCCAGGGTGTTAACCACATGGTCCTGACCAAATTCCAGCGTGGTAATTATATTCTGCCTCCCTAGAATTGCTCCTACAGTTGCAACTGATCGATTTATTCTTCACTGAGAGTAATTAGGCAATGGGACACTTTACAAAGGGCTGTGGTGGCTTCTCCATCCTTTAATTCATGAGTGGCTGTTTTGCTAAAAGATCCGCTGTAGGAATTATTTTGGGTCAGTGCGAGGGCCTGTGTCATGCAGGAGGTCAGACCAGATGATCCCAAGGGTCCCTTCTGGCCTTGGAATCAGTGAAGCACGTCCTATCCTCCGCACTCTTGTGTGGTGTTTCTGCTGCAGCGTGGCTGCCTCTTCCCAGCCCCGATCCACGGTGATGAGCACGGACGCAAACGGCTGAGAATGTAGCCGGGCCGGCCATCCCGTGGTCATTAGCCTGCTCCCAGGGCACAGGGAAGGCAGGACCCCACCACAGAAGTGGAACTGCTGACGTCTTCAGCACCGTCCTCAGTCGCCCACAGACCAGTCCCTTCACAGCTAAGGGTGTAGCCATGTCCGCTCCTGGCTGAGCACAGTTGAGGGACCCCTCAAAGGACTAAGGGCACATTTTCACTCCTAGGGCGCCTATCCTCCGTCCATCTAGACCAATGACCTTCCTGTCTGGGCACAGGGCCTGGGAGACAGATGGGGAAACGGAAAGCTGAGGGGCCGTGGACTAGGTAGGCCGGACAATGATGCTGGGGGGGGCCCTGAGCTGGTCCTGGGTGGGGGGGACCAGCTGAGCTGGTCCTGGGCCCTGCTGTGCGAGGGGAGAGAGCAGCACTGGAACTGTCTTCAGCCATATCCCTCCCCCGGAACTGGAGGGTGAAGCTGGTCCACTCTGGGGGATGGAGGAGTGATAAGACAGGGAAAGAAAGGGGAGGCAAGAGGAGCGCAGAGCAAAGGGGCTGAGAAATGGGGCGGGACGAGGAGCC